TGGGTCAGTGCCTTGGTAGTGAGATCACCTTAAAATTAATGGGATTTTTACTGGATTTCTTCCCCATCCTGGGCTAGGGAACTGACTTAGCTGTGTCAGGCTTGTGACTTCACATCTGTGACAACACTGTATAAATGATAGACTATATGATGACAAATTCCAGGTCTTTATCATTTATTATTCAAGTTTGGCTTCTTTTTATTCATTCAGGGTATATCTTTGAGTGCCACTGTGTGCCAGAACTGTTCTAGGTGCCCAAGTCACGGATGAGGGTGATGGATCTCTTTGGCCCATGTAGGTGTCGAGCATGAACAGCTGCCATCCAGGGGTCTGCCCAGTCTACACATATTTCCCAGCCTCCCTTGCAGCTAAGTTCGGGCCAATGAAATGTAAGTGGAAGTGTATGAGACTTCTAGAAAGATCCTTAAAGGAAGTAAACCCTTTCCCCTCTCTTTTATTTTCTGGAATTTGAGTGTGGTGGCTGGGACCCTGACAGCCTTTTTGTCACACATAAGGAGGGGTGTGGTCCTCTAGGGATGATAGGAAACTGGTTCCCTAATGATGGTAGAGCTGGTATCAGCTTTTGACTCTAAGTGTATGGGGGGAGCGAACTATCTTGTGTGTGCCATTGTTATTTTTGTGTTTCTATCACAAACAGCCAAAATAAACCCTGACTCAGCACGCAACCTAGGCCAGGACCAGCCAGCCGATGTGTTCATCTCACTCTTGCCTTCAGTGATTTGGGTTCTGCTAAGTGGGAGGCTTGTGGCAGCCAGCCTGCCTCAGGGAGCAGGAAGGGAAGTAGAATCTCACTGATACCTGCCACCCCCTTGCCCGGAACCAGTAGACTAGTTGCATGAACCTCTGAGTGTTGGATTTCACGCACCTCTGGCCAACGGAGTTGTTTACAATAAGCACAAAAAAATGTTTTTAATCAGAGAGGGACATTCTAAAAACAGTCCGTTCCGGTGACCCTTGGCGGTCCCAGGGAGAGGAAGTCTGCCTGTCACACTCCAGGAAGATAGACCCGAAAAGAGGGCTTGGTCGTCTGCCCCTGAGGTGTGAGAAGCCCCAGTCCCTTTGGCCCACAGATTCCCAGAGCCTCCGGGGCCCTGTGTTAATGCCAGGGCCCTGCTTTACGTGTTCACGCAAATGTCCACACAGCCCTGCGCTGCTCATGTTCCAGGTCGGTAGAGTCTTATGGTGTGAAATGGGAGCAGAGTCCCCACATGTACCGTTGGCCTAAACCAGGGTTTCCCACCTCAGCCCTGATGACACTGGAGCCAGTTGTGCTCTGTGGTGGGGGCAATCCTGGACACGAGGACATTTAGCAACACCCTGGCCTTCACCCCCCTAGATGTCAGGAATGTCCCCTCAGATGTGACATCTACAGATGTCTCCCCGGAGGGAGCCTCACTCACAAAGCTGCCCAGCTGCCTTGTGGCCTCAGCCAAAAACCAGCCAGGCGCTGGCCCGTGGTCAGCTCAGTAACAGCTGTCACCCTGGCCTTCACCTGCTCATCTGTGTGGGTGAAGGTGCCAGGAGTGTACCCCCAGGCCTGGCAGGCCCCGAGGACTTGCCAGAGCTAGCCCAGCTGAAGAGTCCAGAATGGGAGAAGAGACAATGTCCCTCATCCCACCCCAGACCCAGAGGCCTGGGGGAGGAACCTGTGGTGGGTGGGTTCTGCCACAGAAGAGCCTTATCTATGCCCCATGGGCCTGGCCGCCCTCCCCAAGCAAATGCCTGCCTGGCTTTGTTCTGGAAGCCAGCCAAGGGGACCTGAGCTTGCCTGGAGCTCTCCCCAATGAGAATAAGGTCCCTTTAGGGATGCTGCATGAACCCAAGCTTAGGGGCTGTGTCCACCCGTCCATTCCCCCCCACCACCCGTTTCCCCATCTCCCCAAGCTCCATCCCCCAGTTTCTCCAGGCAGCCCCAGGGACTGACCCAAAGGAGTGAGCAAGTGCAGGAAAAACATGGCCTGGTGAGTGGGTGGGTTCAGAGGGTTCAGGGAGGTGCCTGAGCTCACAGGAGCCGGGAGAGGCCCTGACCCTCCACATGCCTGGGCCCTGACTCACTGCCCAGTGCTGGCCTGATGCCTGGGACAGCCAGCGGGATAGCCTCGGGGCAGCCTCCAGCCCACGCCCCCACCCCTGCCTGTTCTCCCTCTTAGAGCTGCTCCATTGGCAGCCACCAGCTCTTTCCTGAATTCTGGAAGCTGGCCAGAGTCATGCTGACCACTAGGCCCAGCTCTGTTGAGGAAAGAGCAAGATTCATGTCTCCAGGACCAGGGAATGGAGACCCAGGTCACCAGACTGCAGAGCTGACTGCAACCCCACACTCCGCCTGTATTTCTAATCTTGCATCTCTTCAGGGCCGGCACAAGCCCAGCACTATCCCAAGCCGATGAGCAGTATCTATTATACAGACGGGGAAACTGAGGCATGGCAGGGTTTAGGCAGTTGCCCAAAGTCATAGGACAGTGATGCCCCTGGAGTCTGAACCCCAGCAGTGGGGCCCTAGGGTCCCTAGAGGAGCATTTTGGCTTTTCAGTTGAGACATTGCCTCTGAGGCAGCGGCTCCTTGTTCAAGGTCACGCAGAAGGAGACCAAGCAAGGACTAGAACTCATGCCTATACTTGGTCAAGCTCTAAAGGGTGACAAGCAGGTGGAGAGGTTCTAGATACTTAGGTCATTATTGGTTTGTGACTGGGGGTCAGATATCTGCACACCTGGCTGACCTGGCTGATAGGTAGTGTGTCTGGGTACAACAGTGAAGGGTGTATTGAGTCGAGGTAAGCCCCTCCCCCTGGACCTCTGACGAGTCCGGTGAGCGAGGCCAAGGAGAGGCCGGGAGGACTGGTCCTGGGGCATCAACACAACAGTCCTTGGGTTTTCAGAGACTCTCCATATGTGGCCTGCACCGGCCTCCCTCACGGTGGCCCCAAGACCCCCAGGTGGCCTCCCTGACTGACTCAGAAGTGTGGACTGCGCATCTGACCTGCCAGCCCTCCTTCGGGCCGTGACACCTGGGGTCAAGCAGGTGCTATGTGCCCGGCTCTTGTTTTCTTACAGGTGAAGAAACTGAGGCACAGAGAGGCCAAGCCGTTTGTATAAGGGTTCGCAGCTGATGAGTGGCAGAGCTGGGATTCAAACTGGATCCTGAGCTTGTGCACTTGACCCTGACCTGAATGAGGTCATTTCAGTTAGTGACAAATGCTGTTGCTGTTGAGAGCAGGCTTTGTAGGAGGCCTAGGGAGATGTCATGTGAGCCCAGACCTGAAGTCCCAGAAGAGAGAAGTGTCCAAGCTGTGGAGCGAACAAGTGGAAAGGCAGGTTCGGGGACCGAGCCCTAAGGCCGTGGGGCTTGATCACTCTGGGCCTGTGGTCCAGTGAGACATGGAGGATTTTTATATTTCAGGGGGCCCAGAGTTGGGTCAAAGGCCCTGGTAAAAGGGAGCTGGTGCTGGCCTCTCGATAGGTCATGGGGCAGAAGCCCAGTCTGACTAGGGAGGCCGGCGTCACTGTGAACCCCCAAGCTCCCCACCTCCATCCCAGGCAGTGTGGGAGAGGAGGGCTGGGGAGGGCTAGAACCCCTCCACCGAGGGCAGGAAGCCTCACTGAAACCCGAGCTGCCAGGAGGGGAGGCTGGACAGGACCCAGGAGTCCTGAGGGCTATGCCACCCTGACTCGCCCCACCCGGCTGCCCCGGGTAGTTGGGAGGGTGATGTGACCTGTGCTCTCACATAACCCTCAGCCTCTCTCACCCCTTCGCCATCATGGGAATTCACTTCCGGGGGGAGGGGAAGAGGTGTGAGCATGGACACCCCCCCACCCCAGTGGGGAAGGGCCTGCCGGCCGGGCCAGGGAAAAACAGCTCCCTCACTTCCCCTGCCTCCCCCTTCCCTCCCAAGGACCTGGGCCCAGCCCCGCAGGCTCCAGCCTGACTCACCGCAGGCAGCTGTGGTTTGGGATGCCAGGGCTGGGGGCGGGTGGCAGCAGAGGACAAGAGATGGAGCATCAGGCTTGGGGGAGCAGCTTCTTCCGCCAACCACCCCATCCTGCCAGAGATGTTGAAATGGTACCCTGTCCTCAGGGCTGGCAGCTCCCATGCTCCAAGCTGCCCCCTGCCCCCTGGCCCTGTGGGACCAGCACTGTGGGGCAGGCACTGAGCACACAGACCAGGGAGCTGGCCACACGTCTGGGGCTGCATCTTACCTGGGTGACATCCACGCCTTTCACTAAGGGACATCATTCTGAGCCCAGAGAACCACAGCCAGAGAGGATCACCTCCATGGTGACCCTCCCAGACTGGCAATAGAGAAAGGCAAGGGGGCGGGCATCCTTCCCACATGTAAAGTGGGTGCTGGTCTTGGTCCCGTCTTCAAGAGGCCATTGTGAGTAGATGAGTTAATCCTGTTGACATATTTATCCTTATTTGTCACAAAGCTCTAACTCTCGCCCGCCTGTGCCATAGTCAACGCCATGGTGGGGGCGGGGGGAGGGAGAGAACGAAGGATTGAAGTGACTACTCCTTTAGCAGGAAACCACCCAGGCCAGATTCCAGAAACTTCCGTCAACCGTGGCCTCTCCCATACATTCAATCCGGTCTCCTCTCCCCTCTCAGAGCCCTCCAGCCTCTTCCTGGCCCCTCCTATGTGCAAACCATTCAAGTTCATTTGTCCTGTTTGCCACACGGCTGAGCTTGCCATCAGTCAATCAACCAATTATCGACCTCCCGCGTGCAGCCCTGGCTGCTTCCTGTAGGGCCTTTTCAGCTTGCGCCCCCAGAGGCATTTTGGAACCTTCCCAAGACAAAAGGCGGAAGGAAGCAAGTGCCACCCTGTGGACGCGGGAAAGATAACACAAAAAATCCCCACAGCTCCTGGCCTTCACCTCTAACCACAGCCCCCACTCTCACAAGGCAGGGGCAGGTGGGCTTTCATGCATCACCCCTTTTTCAGTTGGGGAACCTGAAGCTCCGATGAGCCCAAGGTCACCAGCTCGACCCAGGTGGCCTGGCTGGTCTGTGCTCTTTCCCGTTCCACTGCCCGACACTCCGGGCGCCTGCTCCTGGGCCCCCTCTGCCCTCTCTCGCTTCGCCCTAGATGCCCTGGACGGCAGGAAGCCCCACTCCCCAGGTCCTGCTGGCTTCGGCCAGTGCAGGGCACCGGTGCACGTGAGGCCAGGGAGCGGGTGGGGGCTGGGGGCTTTCTCCCCTCGGCCATGGGCAGCGTTGCCTCAAGGCTCCCACAGCCCCTGGCCTATGTCCACGAACGCCACACCCTCTGCTGTGGCTCATTTCAAGTTGCATCCTTGTCCTCTATTTGGTCTTCTTAAAACATAATTATCGATAATCAGCGTTATTTTTAATTGTGGTCCAATACACATAACATTTACCCTCTTAACCATTTTTAAGTGTACAGCTCAGTGGCACTGAGCACTCAAGTCGTTGTGCCACCATGTCCACCACCCGTCTCCAGAACTTTCTCATCCTCCCAAACTGAAACTCTATCTTCAGTTTAAACACTGACTCCCCAGCCCCAGGCCCCCACCATCTACTTTCTGTCTCTATGAATCTGACGCCTCTAGGGACCTCATAAGTGGAATCACACAGTATTTGTTCTTTTGTGACTGGTTTATTTCACTGAGCGAGGTTCATCCACACTAACATGTGTCAGAATGTTCTTACTTTTTAAGACTGAATATTATTCCTTTGTGTGAATACACCACATTTTCTTTGTCCATTGGTCCATTGAGGACACTTGGGTCACTTCCACCTCTTGGCTATTGTGAATAACGCTGCTGAGAACACTGGGGTACGAAAGATGCAGGACCGAGCGGATCCCCCAGTGGGCCTGCCCTGAGAGAGGGGCTCTGAGCACAAGAGAGAATTCAAACGCACGCCAAAGCTAGAGTCCAAAGGAGAGTTTATTAGAGAAGAGGTGACGTGCCACAGAGCGTGGTCTCCTCTCAGAGGCAGAGAGTGAGAGAGTCTGAGAGAGACTCAGGGACAGATAGACAGGACACAGCAAGAGACAGTGAGACAGACACTGAGAGGGACCCTGAGTGTTCGAGTGTTTGAGGAATTCAATTTATAGATCATTCTTTAGTTTTAAAGTTTAAAGCAGGGGTCCCCAACCCCTGGGCCGTGGACCAGTACCAGTTCGTGGCCTGTTAGGAACCAGGCTGCACAGCAGGAGGTGAGGAGCAGATGAGCGAGTAAAGCTTCATCTGCATTTGCAGCCGCTCCCCAGCGCCAGCATCAAGGCCCCAGCTCCACCTCAGACCATCAGGCATTAGATTCTCATAGGAGCACCGGTCACTGGTGCCAAAAAATCTGGGGACCGCTAATTTAAAGACTTTGTTTACCCATTTTCCTTTGATATGGACGTACAGTGAGAAAGGATAAGAGTATGTAGCGTGATACTTGAAACTAATTTAAATAAATAATTTTTTTTTTTTAAAGAGCATATAGCATGAAAAGGTAAGAATATGTGCAGCATGAAAGGCCTGCTGGCAATTCCCAGCCTTTAATCCGTAGGTCCCCCGTGTGTTTAGCCACGGAGAATGAATGATTTTATTTTGTGTGGGGAACCACTTAACGCCCCTGTTTTTCCTGTTTTCCCTTCAGGGTGCGGGGAAATGGTTGTCAGCAGTCCCAGCAGAAATCGTCCTTCTTCTACAGGTGTCCTCAGAGTCTGGCTATTGGGCTGGTCAGCATATTGTAGTCTCTGGTTACAGCTTGATTTAACGAGTTAGTTCTCTTGCCTCCTCCCTACATGACGAACATCTGTTTGAGTCCCTGCTTTCTATTCTTTTGGGGGTGTATGTACCTAGAGGTAGAATAGCCAATTCACATGGTAGTTCTATTTTTAATTTTCCAAGGAACCACCATCCTGTTCACAGCACCTGCAGCATTTCACATTCTCACCTACAGCGCACAAGGACTCCGATTTCTCCACATCCTTGCCAACACCTGTTATTTTCTTTCCGGTTTGTTTTTTTGTTAGTCATCCTAATGGATATGAGGTGGCATCCATGGTTTGCCCCATTTGCCTTTTACTCCTAGGTCTCTGTATTAAGTTCTTTCTGTCCAGTGACCTACTGGGGGCTCTGAGTGTACCCGGTTGATAGGCCAGGACTCTGTGGTTTGACTGTCATGTTTAAGGGCAAGGATCTGAAATGCCCACAGGGGTAGGCCCAGGTAAAGCTGGAGTGCAGGAGAGAATGGGGGGCCAGGGTCATGAGGTGGACCACACATAGCAGGCATCCAAGATTTGCCAGAACTTAAAATGTTTTGGATTTGTATTGTGAAATCTCTCTATTATTTGTATCTTAGCAATGAATATAATAGTCACATTTTTCTCCTTCATCTTATCCTGTAAGGGGACCTCACACCAAGCACTCCAAGGGCCTAAAGGTTTGAATGAAAACAACCTTCAGAAATGTCACACGTTTGATGGAGCCTTGTGTGTGTCTGGTGGGGGCGTCTCGGCCCCATCATTGTTCCCCCAGATCTTCACATGGCCGGTTCTTAGTCTTCTGGACTCATTTCAAATGTCAACCCGTCAGAGAATCCTTCCCTGGCTCTTCCCTGACAAATATTTGTCGTGTTACCCTGTTTAACACTCTTCTAAAACGTAGTAATTGTATCTGTTTCCCCTTTTAAACTGTCGGGTCCTTGAAGGCACAGATGTTTGTTCACTTTGTTGTCTTATTCACAGCAGCGTCCCACACACACCTAGAATAGGACCTGGCACAAAACAGGTGCCCAATAAATGTGTGTTGAATGAATGGACGAGCAAGACATTTAGCAAAATCTCAACTCCAGGAAGCGCCCAGCAGAGCTGCTGCCCAGCTGAGCCCAATATCACCCCCGAGCCAGCAGCCTGTCCTGAGCTCTGGGGAGATGTTCTTTCTTCCTGCTGGTCCAGCCCTTTAACAGATGGAGGAAATGAGGAAACAGAAGGCGAAAGGATGTCAGGTTCAGCCAAATGGTTCGTTTAAGAAATTTAATCAGTCACAGTAAGACAGGCTATAAAAACATTCTATACAGTGGTTTCAAAACTAAACCCGTCCCCTCAAAGCAGCCCATGTAGATGACACAGACGGCTCTCCCGAGGCGCACCATGCAGAAGCCGGGCGAGCCATCTGCACAGGAAGGCGAGGCATCTCGGAGACCGTCGCCCCGATGTAGACTCCCAGGGGTCACTGAACAAATGTAGCGCCCGCGGCTTTCAAAAATAAATACATCTTTTTTTTTTCATATCTATGAGTGATAAATGTTTCAACAAATATACAAAGTGCAAACATAACAAAATGGCCCACTCTCCCATACAGGGTTTAATTACAGGCTTCACAAAAAGAAACACCGTTCCCAGTTTCCGACAGGGTGGGGTGCTGTTTCGTGGCTGTAGTGCACAAGTGACAGGGAAGCCACGGGAGGTTCCCCCACTGCCTCCAGTTGTAAATGAGACGTGTGTGACCATTTTGGAAAGCATTCTCGTTGCACAAACCCCATACGATGACCGTGCTAGCGGACGTCTTACAGGCTGAAATGCCAGGCACGTTTTATATGGACACCCACCCGTGACGGCTGTCTTGTCGGGGAAATTAATGGCTCAGGGCATCTGCATAGAAGTGGAAACTAGCCAGATAGCCAGGATCTTAGCTTTGAAGTGCTGTGAGAAGCGGCAGCTCGTCCCCGGGGCCGCCTGCTGCCTGGAAGCCCACCCCACCCAGAAGGGAAAGCAACGCAAAATAACAGAGGTCAGAGGTCAGCTTTACAGTGTACAAGCCCGAACAGGACAAGTGCCGGGCACCTGGAAGTGGCTGGGGGTGGTGTCCAGATAGCCAACCCCAGGCCGAAGGACACTAGAAGAGGTCGGAGGCCACTTATATTCACGTACAAGGTATCCCAGGATGTCAGGCACTTGATAAATATTAAGGGCAATGGGTGGCCCAGGCTTTCCCTGGGGAACGCAAAGTTTTGGTGAATGAATGAGGCTCGGATGGCCACTCCTGGTGTGCTGGATTCAGCCATGTCAATACCAACAACCAGGGACCCTCCAGCTTAAGGGGAGGGCACATACCCAGCTTAGAAAACACTAATTTGGTCCTGATCTAGGGGCACGAAAGCTTACTCTGGCGTCCAGCGAGGCTTGCGAGGCAGAGGTGAACGCTCTCACTCCTGAGTTTAGGGGCTCAGCCGTTGCCTGGGCCCCGTGGGTAACACCTGCTCTCCTGCATTCAAAGCCACTTGCATCTTTCAGTCGGTGTCCGTCAGTCAGTCCCTCAGGTGAGGAGCCAGTTGAGGAGAAAAGGTCAAGAAAAAAATCCCATTCCACATGTGCCATCGCCTGCCTCCCAGACTAATAAATATATAAAACAGAGGTCTGGCAGACAGGCCCATGGCTGCCAGCATTGAGGGGCAGCTGCCAGCAGTGCTTCTGGCCACTTCTTTCTCTGAATGGAACAGGAGGGCGTGGAGGTCTCCAGAAGGGCTTTGGGCAGGTCAAGGGTCTTAGGAGAAAGTGTTTTTCCTACACTTGACAGGCAGCAGGTTCTGGGGAGGGACAGCACTCAAGGCAGCGGCTCATGCCACGTCATCCTCCAGGCTGACCATCTGTCTCTGTCAACGAAACGATAAACGCCGGAAATAATCAGTCCAACATCCAGTAAACATGGCCAGAGGCCACCTGCTCCTCATCTCCGGCCTGGACCAGCATAGTCACCTCCACCCTGGTCTGGCTCCTGACCTCGGCGCCCGTCTGTTTTCCCCCACGGCCACCAGAGGGCGCCGATGAGCACCCGAGTCAGGCCATGTCTCTCCTCTTCCCAGAGCCCTCCATGGCTCCCATCTCAGAGAGCAAAGCCTAAGTCCTTCCCATGGCCCACAAGGTCCTGCCCCAACTGCCCGGCCCCTCCCTGC